ACCAAGATGACATTTTGGAAGGTCAAGGTCCAGTGGTCCTGACTTTATTAGATGGGCCTCTAGGATTCAAAAACCAAAATACTTCTGGGGCCCCTAGCGGGTCAAGGTCACGACTTTTGGTTGGCGATTTTAAAAAATGAAGAACAAATGTTGGGTCAGTCTATCGAGTCACCAAATCCCGGGGCGATTGGAAGACATTTTTTGTGCAAATTTCCCTAGAAAGTGAAATAGCTGAGTATTACAGCGGTGTGGTCTAAGGGCAGATAACTCGCCCATCCCAAATCGGATCCGACGACCTTGAGGTCGTGGCCATTTAAACTAAATTGACCCCTGGGAGTCTCGTGGTGACCTTGGTTTGACAATCAGAGGTCAAGGTTCGAACTTCTATATATGACGTTTCGATAACGTTATGACAACGTTGTGACAACGTTTAAACAACGTTGTCACAACAATCTGTATATGACGTTTTGATAACGTTGTCACAACAATCTGTATATGACGTTTTGATAACGTTGTGACAACGTTGTGACAACAACCTATGACGTTTTGATAACGTTTTGAAGACGTTGTGACAACGTTGTAACAACGCCGTGACAACAACCTGTATATGACGTTTTGATAACGTTGTGACAACGTTGTGAGAACAACCTGTATAATAATGATGTTTTGATAACATTTTGAAGACGTTGTGACAACGTTGTAAAAACGCCGTGACAACAACCTGTATATGACGTTTTGATAACATTGTGACAACAACCTGTATATGACGTTTGAATAACGTTTTGATGACGTTGTGACAACGTTGTGACAACAACCTGTATATGACGTTTTGATAACGTTTTGAAGACGTTGTTACAACGTTGTGACAACGTTGTAACAACGTTGTAATAACGCCGTGACAACAACCTGTATATGACGTTTTGATAACGTTGTGACAACAACCTGTATATGACGTTAGAATAACGTTTTAATGACGTTGTGGCAACGTTGTGACAACGATGTGACAACAACCTGTATATGACGTTTTGATAACGTTTTGATGACGTTGTGACAACGTTGTGTCAACAACCTGTATATGACGTAAATACAACGTCGAATATTGGTCGAAAACACGTTGTACAACGTCACGACCAATATTGACGTTGTCACAATGTTGTAACAACGTTGCGTGCCCGCTGGGATGGCCCTGCCCTGATGTTACAAGCTTTTCAAAAATGTATATATAGTTTGTTGAGTACAGGGAGGACCTTGTAGTGGAATTGTGTTTCTAAGCAAGCTAGAATTTTTGGCCGCAGGCCTATACAAAATCACTCTTTTTCAAACGCTAACCGTGTCTAGTACGCAAGCCTTCGACGAAAAAATATGAAACTTTGGGAAAGTGTTGCATGTACACATGTCTATCAGTATCAATGATGAAAGGCCCATCTTTGATATTCTAATGTGGCCAGAAGTATTCTTTTCTCCAGGTTATTGCGCGCAAGTAACTATTCGGTTAGACAGTCGATCTTTATTTCAAACTCACTTCCGCTGTGTCTATAACAGATTAAGTACCGGTAATTATAGAAACGACGGGCTAGAGTTTTCCTCGCACTCTTTCCTGGTGTACCTCATTATCCGTCAAGTAATTCACATTAAGTGGCTAAGTAGGTAACGCTGGCTCACTATCCTGGATCAGGTCGGGTGTTCGATCCCTGCATTGGCCGAGAAAGTTCATCCAGATTTTCCGGCGTAGTCAGTAATGCCGGACGGAGGGCCTGACAAGGACAGCTGTCTAGTCATTCGGATGATACGAAAAACCGAGGTACCGTGTACACATTGGCGTGCACGTAAAAGATTCCTTGACAGTTGGAATTCGATATAAGAGTAGGTCGTAGTGCCGCTGTACGGGCAACATTTCTCTCATAGAGCAGTCATACCACACTGTATCAGTGTATGGCGTATGCCCGTCTTCATTAGCCCAGTTCGGAGCAAAAACAGTAGGACGTTAAACCCCATAATACCATAATACCAAGGCAATGAGAAGGATGTTTTGACCATTTCCCATGTATTTTTTGACGATACGCACGAAACTATCAACAGTTAAGAGAATTCAACCAATTTTCTAACTGAGCATAGGTCAAATCAAGACATAAAATCCCAAACAAAAGACAAGGAGAAAACAGACGTAAAAGTTAGTTAGGAAACATGTTCAGATTATACATTTGTCTGAACTACTATACACTAGGCTTATACAGTCCTAAGACCATCTAGAAAAAAGAGCTAAATTTTGGATTTTTGGGTTTGGCCCGGTTCACTGATTTTTAATTGCCTGGAATGCTAATCTAAACAATATGTCCAACCTGAGTGACATTATTGCTGATATAAATAGTCCAGTTAGATAAGTGTTGATAGCTATAAACCTGCCATTGTGAGTATCAAATGACAACATTTTAATTTCTAAAATAAAAAGCTCTTTTTTATATAAATCATATTTATTATCGATGATGAGGTTGATAGATAACAGCTTAACACTATTATATACAAATTACTCAATATGACACTTGAAGAATAGCCTAAAAGTATGTAATACAAGGTTGTGGTCTCTTTCGAGGTAAATTTAATATCTGATTGACTTTAAATTAATATCCGTGTTTACAAAGAATCCTATTGATTTTCACCAAATTCCGATAATTACTGCCAGAGTTACATATATCGCCCTTTATCACTTTGAAAAATCTGGTGGACGCTCTAGGGGCTAAAGTTAATATCCGATTGACTTTAAATATATACACAGTCTTTAAGGTCATCAGACGAAGAAGCCTGTTGATTTTCAACGATTTCTGATAATGACTGCCAGATAGTTATCAACTGATTGATTTTATATTCATACACCGTGTTTACGCCTATATATAATAGTTTCGATTGACTTTAGATTGATACACAGAGTTTAAGGTCTTGAGACGAACAAGTATATTGATTTTCAATGATTTTTGATAACTTGAACAGCTAAATACATGACATTAAGTGTTTTGTATATACGTTAGCATGGGCCAAACAAATTCCAATGATTTTCTAATAATTACATAACGAGTTGTTACTCTTAATCAGATTTTAGTGTATTGTAAATATTTCATTACCGACAAATATCTCTGTTCCTTTTGATATTCACGCAAATCAGACCTAATTTCCCGTCTTATGACCCCCAATTTTACGAGAAATCACGTTTTTATCTTGTCCGATTATATGTTTATATCCCAAAGTTCTGGGTTCCAGTCGATACTTCGGACCGTGTCAGCCTGGATTATGATACCTGATTGTACGAAAAACTTGTTTTTAAAGCTTGTTCTCTGTCCATCTCTTGCAAAATGTTGGCGTCTCTTGCATGGCAACGCCTGTTTCCAAATATATTTCATATTCAAGCTGTATATTAAATAACAAATAGATTGTTTTGGGGTAACCTCTCCCTGTATTTAAAAAATCCGTAAATGTTCATATTTTTGAACGAACATAAGATATTTTTGGATCAAATTTTCTTTAATAATAATTGATAAGTTTGTAAATAGTATTGTACCTTGTAGTCACATAATACATGTACGATGGCTCAATAGGCCCTTTTCTATGGAAATAAATATGCATAGATGAATGTAAAATGCCACTGGCAAGAGTTATACAAAGATAATGTGCTCAACAACGCTTATTTTACTTATGAATATTAATCTCCCCAGGAAAAAGGTCCAAAATCATTTAATTGGATAACATCAAATTGGTCAATGTCAAAGTATATGAGTAAATCAGTGTAAGATATTTTATAGGCTGGCTTAGAGAAGTTGCTGTAGATATTACATCTCATTAAATAAGCATATTATTACCGGTACTTTATGTAATATTTGAATCCATTTTTATACGCTGACATTTTCATGTGGACGTATATTGTCGTCGGCTCTGTCCGTCCGTCCGGACGTCCACAATTGTTTGTGAACACTCTACAGGTCACAAATTTTATCCAATTTCAATGAAACTTGAAATATAGGTTAATCCCCCTAAGATCTCGGTTCCTTTCGATATTGGCATGTATCGGACTGTAACTTCGTGGATTATGGCCCCCGATTGTACGAAATATTACGTTTTGAGCTCGTGAACAGTGTAGAGGTCACAATTTTTAGCCGATTTGGTTTAAATTTGAAATTTATGTTTGTATACCCTGGCTAAAACAAGATGCTACATCTAATTAAATAAGCTAATTATTACTTTATGTAATATTTGAATCAATTTTATTTTCATGATATAATTATTATATTAAATTGTTATTAAATTTGTTTATTTCTACATTCAATTTGATTATTTTCTTTTATTCTCTTATTCAATTTTAATTTTAATTTCAATTGAAAATCCCACAGAATCTGATCTCCAAATCATCTAGCTTTTATATTCTAAATATAGAGCAGTGTAATATGACACTTATACACTGCACCATCTAAATAGATAATAATTGGGCGACAATTTATTATCTTTGAGAAGTTGATGACAGGATTCTCTTCAACAAACTTCCGTTATCTTTGAGGTCAAATTCCTAAACATGAAGAAATCAGGCTGATTTCTAGTTGGTCTTAAGAGTGTATACTATGATTACGTTAATTTCCCGGGACTGGTTCGCCGCCCCAGCAATCACATCGCGGGATGGGGTCCCAGGAATTGGTTATAGGACCTATGGATTAGGAGAACCTCTAAGTTAATTTAGTTAATTTTAGGGCCTAACCGATCTCTGGGCCCCCGAAAATCTGTTGGTAGGCTACCTACCTGCAGTCCGGGGCCCCCAATATCGACCCAGGGCCCCATGCACTCATCGCCCCCTCAGCCCAGGTAATGGATGGCTCCGTCCGGGATTAAATATTAGTATGACCCAGAATTGTGGAGGGCCCGGGACATTTGTCCCACTTTGCCCCCCCCCCCCCGATCCGGTACTGATCCCAATCTCTCACTCTCTCTCATTTCATGAACACATTCGATTATCCAGTATCTAAAGTTCTTTTTCCAGTCGACCACTACCATAGTCATGACAACGCTACTAAAAATAGATGCTAAGCGAATGAAAGGGGAGGTTACTCTAGTTCGATCCGTTTCGAAGTCGCCATCCTTGTTTTATGTCAACTGAAATTTAAGAACAATAAACATGGTAAGTATTATTTAAAAAAGCATATTTTGGTTTATCTGTAATCTTATATATCACAATATTTGTCCAAAGCAGTTTATGGGTAGTAGATATTTCTTCAATTTCAATCACATTCCAATTTTGTGCCTTCTTTATCTTTATCTTTATGAAAAAAAACCCTGAAAATCATTAATTTTTCAATTTTTATTTTCTTTTTTTTTTCTTCTTACTCTAGCATACTACTACTGCCAGTCATAATTATTGAGTAGATTCAGTATTTCTTATCATTGGCTTAACAGAGTTAATTAATGTCTTAGAATTTGAATACAATCTAATTTGAAGGTCTACACAACGACATTCGACAATACAGTCTACAGTTACAGAATTTAGATAATATTAATATGTCCAGTAGGCCTATAGTAATTAGTATATACTTATTATAGTATAGATCCAGGGCTCAAAATTCGCTAACCTGTATCTAAGGCCATTTTTCAAAAAATGGCCTCAGACAGTGAAGCCTCTCTAAGGCCATTTTGTTCAACACCAAGGCCATTTTTTCAATTTAGAAATTATCGAGGGCCATTTTTGCTGGACATTTTAAAAATAAATAGTCTTTCATTTTTCACATTCATTTAATAAAACCTGGACAGGTTAATCATGACAAACTGAAATAGATGTTTATAAATATATTTAGTCCTTGGCAAACACTGAAATTAAAAGCTTATCTAAATCTAGATATTTTTTGTCTCAAACTTCTATTACATATGCGTTAACCTACAATTATTATTTTTTTTAAAGCACGACTGTTCACAGATGCCTGTCAATAAAATAGTCTATAATAACAAAAGTCATATATTATTCAGACTGAGAAGAGAGAATCATATCAAAATTATCTCCATCACTGTCCTCAATTTCACTTTCTATTACTAGCTCTGATTATCAAGCACTGTCTTGAACCGTAGCCACTGTTTATCGCAAAAGACTTGACTAACGTCTACTTGGTCTGCTTATCGTAGTCTTGTATAATAAGACTGTTACGTGTTACAGGCATCTGTGGAGGGGGTAAACTACGAACAGCAGTGCATAAGAAAAAATTAAACGTGGGAGGTTTTTAGATCAGCCAAGTTTTACGGGAAAATGCATATCATATGTGAACTTTTTCATTTATTTTCGCTTCCGATAAAGGTGCCATCGATGGCCATTTAGGGTAATTCTACGGCCAATGGCTCTAGTATTTTTATCGATTTTTTTCCGCAATTTATGACAGCACTTTTTGGCCCTCGATGTAAAAGCTATCGAAGGCCATTGCGAGGCTTACGACAGCAATGGCCCCGATGGCTCTCGTGAATTTTGAGCCCTGAGATCTAGTCAATTTGGATTTCAGTAAAAAGAGTGACATTATTTTTTCATAAGTCACCTGTCGTAAAGCAGCACACCGCTATGCCTTTTCAAAAAGTGCTTAGAAAATCCTTTTTATACCAAATAACATGTTTAGTACGGTAAGCTTACCATACCAAATAGAAATAAATTTTAAAAAAAACCTTCATGAATTGAATACATGACAAGTCGGATCAAAGACAATATAAAGATAATCAGATGAAATACCAAGACTAGATGCACGAACAAAAAAAGGAAAGTTGGGTCACTCCGAAAGACAAATCAGATGTTTTCGTCAAAATAGTAATGTCTTGATTTAATAAATCAATCATTTTATTGTTTATGTTTTGTTTCAATTACCGGGGTGTTAGTGATTAAAATGATTTGAGTAGTGCCATTTGTAATAATGTAATATACAGTGTAAGTAAGCAAGCTTTTAACTTTTAAGGTTTGAGATTCAGTAGTTCATCCAGACAGCAGAGCATCCTACCAACTGACTTTTACTAAAAATGTCTAACAATTTAGTCTGTCTGATCTTGGTATTTGGTCTGACTTGTTTTGGCCTTGGTATTCCTAAATTGACTTTTTGAATAAACTCGAGATCATTAAATAATTGGGAAATGCTATATAAGTGATTGCTCTATACAGATTAGGCACTATGCCTCTGATGTGCCTGCTAGCCCAAGTCGAAGCTCACATTGACAATTAAATAACTGAAGAGAATGGATTTTGATCAAAATAAGGTCGAAAGAATATTGAGCTGCTGTGTCAACATAAATTATGATCATGTTTTTCCATGAATATTGCTGTAAGGCTTATAGCCTATTTTCCTTTACTTTAAGGCATGCTAATGCTATTGAATAATCCTGCCAATCAGACATGATTTGGCACACTGATCATCAGTGAATATTCGTTAGGCCAATACAATCACCAAGAAGGATGACATCAGTACCAATACCTGACAACTCATCCCAAAGACAACTCATCCCAAGATAAAAGACAACTCATCCCAACTTAGTTTTGTTTGGTTTTATAGACGAGTCGAGATATCAAAAATTTATTATACAACAATGTTAGTAGAAGGTAAAACAACAAAGTATTAAAACATTAATACAAACAGTGATACACAACCATCAATTTGATTAAAACAACAATATGAATTTTATTAAAATAACACATTTTTATAACAAAATAATAATATGAATTTTATTAAAATAACACATTTTTATAACAAAATCAGATTGGTCTGAGTTGTCTTCAAAGAAAGCAATTGTATTAACACAAATATAACTTGCACTTATATTTGTTGGGATGAGTTGTCGGATATCTCGAACCATGTTTTAAGGTTGGGATGATTTGTCTTCTAACGTGGGATGAGTTGTCTTATATTGGGATGAGTTGTCTTTGGGATGAGTTGTCTGTATAGCTAGCAATATTAACTTTTTTCCATCGGCAAATTAAATTCTAGAACATTTTTAGAAGTATTACTAGAAAAATAAATAAAGGTGTTTGAAGTATATCTGGATACAAATTATTTCCCATTTAGTGTAAATGGGTATAAAATGTGTAAAAGGCATCATTCTGCCTAGTTACTTGAGTAACGGTGTCTGATAGAGGCTAGCCTCTCACCGTTACTGTCTGTCCCTATACACATATATGAAAATAACGCCTTACACCACCTCGGTTCTCTTCTAAGGCTATTTTTGAATCTTTACCGTATATTTTTCACAGTGATTCTTCTTTGTTTGCCATGTGTATAGGATAGGGAGTCTTAGGGACAGACAGTAACAATGAGAGGCTAGCCTCTAACAGACATCCTTACTAAAGTAACTACATTCTGCCTGGACCAGTTGACATTATGTAAGCAATTCATGAGCCATTGAGCCAATAATTTATGCCGCATGATCTGACGTCACATGTAGAATACATTTGAACTTACAAAGGTCAGTCATCTTATGCAGAAGTAATGCAATTACAATACCTCTGTGAAATAGATTGATGACTTGGATGAAATTAGCTCCAAACTCTGACATGGGGAGTCTCATTTTGTCAGTTTCAGTAGATGCTAATACTGATAGTAGAAACATGGTTTATACTATATGTAAATAAAGTGATATTAATTTGCTGAATTAAAGATTTTTTGTCACAATGAAAAAGATTGTTATATCAATAGTGGCCGATTCTTTCGTTGTGTACATGTACGTTACATTTAGAGCTTATTGTACAAGCTCAAAATTTTATTATAACAAGTTGCAGTAAGTCACTGTTTATGGCCTTGGATAGCTAACATGTATCTAATACGAAAAGTTGAACAATTTTCCCATTGTCATTGTCTCTTGAAGACGAAAATGGAGCTGTTATGTATATTACATCATGAAACAAAATTTTATACCACTAAATTTCAAGTCCAAAAGTCTGTGAATTGAACTTAATGACTGTTTGAGATAGTGATGTACCGATATGACTACTATCGGTTTCACCAATATCAGATGTTGACAGTGAAGCATATCAGCCGATTGACAAATGAATTGTACAATAATTTCCAGTGACCCCAGTGTCAATTAATCTGGTTCCGATTATTGTTGGAGTATTATATCAAGTTATTGAAATTTGTTTAAACTTTTTCCCTTCGATTTTTTAGCTATTCATGTTCCCAACTGTTGCGATCACGTGACAACCATACAACCAAATAACTAAAATTGCTTCACGTGACAACCATAACTAAAATCACTTCATAAAATTTCCAACGGCTATGTGCCATAACCTTCTAAAATAAGGATATTATATTAGGAAGTCAGCATGTTTATGAAATACTAAATTATAATGGTAAACACTATTTAAAACTAAAAATTGCATCGCTGAATTAATGACCTAATTCCAAGTTCACCCGCCCCTCAATGACTGTATGATATTGAAAGGTTATGACCTATGCATTTCACGTTCCTCTTTACTATCTATGTGTAAAAAAAACCATCTAGTACTATGTCATTTTTATACGCCCACATGGAAATGTGGTCGTATATTGCCGTCGCCCCTGTCCGTCCGTCCGTCCGTCGTCCACAATTTCTTGTAAACACTCTACGGGCTACATTTATCATCTGATTGTTTTGAAATTGATATATGTTGTTTGCATTAGTGAGATGAAGAAGCCTATTTAATTTCAATAACTTCCGTTAATTTCTTCTAGAGTTATGGCCCTTGTTTCACTTTGTTGTACCTTGTGAATGCTCTAACGACAAAAGTTATTATCCGATCTGTATGAAATTTAAATGCATCATTTGAATTATTAAACAAAGAACCTATTGAATTTCAGCAATTTCCGTTAATTACATCTAGAGTTATGGCCCTTGTTTAACTTTGTTGAATCTTGTGAACGCTCTAATGACAACAGTTATCATCCGATCTGTTTGAAATTGATATCTGGCATTTAAATTAGTGCAACGAAGAAGCCTATCGAATTTCAGCAATTTCCGTTAATTACGCTGTGAGTTATGGCCCTTGTTTCACTTTGTTGTACCTTGTGAATGCTCTAACGACAAAAGTTATTATCCGATCTGTATGAAATTTATATGTATTGTTTAAATTAGTAAAAGGAACAAGCCTATTGAGTTTCAGCAAATTTCTGTTAATTACATCTAGAGTTATGG